CTCTATATATCATAAGTTTGTAAATAACTGATGAGAAATGCTTTAACAAACTAATAGACTTGGATGTTAATACAATTAAATGATTAGAAGGGTTTTTATGTAATTTCACTAAAACACAAGTTGAATTTAGTTATACCTAGTGTTCAATCGAATATCTGTCACCCCTAGCTTTAAATGTCTAAAAGGACATCTAAGTAATTACAACAAAACTAAATTAGCTAAAATGACTTATATTCAATACTCCAATTGCACTTCAAATACTTTTATATTCCCAAAATAGCCCTACCTTTTCGGTTGAAATCCAAAGAACATCTTTACTCTAAACGCATTCTTATATAGTATAAGGACACATGCATATGTAGAGCTGTTAAACTTCACGAGTAGATCGAAAGCTCGTTAGAGCTCGGCTCAATAAGCTTCGAGTTCGCCTCATTAGTTGCGGTAAACTAGCCGAGCTCGAGCTAAAAATGTATTCTACTTGTTTGATATCCGAATAGCTCGTTAATAAAGGACATATTTGTTATTTTAGAAGTCAAAAGTATAAAAATTGAAAATTATAGATTTTATTGAAATTAGTTTGTACGAGCTCGAGCTCGTACAAGCTCCAAGTCGAGTTCGAACTCGAGCTCAAGCCACATATACATTTGATGAGTCGAGTTCGAAGACATTTTAAATCTCGTTTGCCTAATGAGCTCGAGTCGAGCTCTACTCGAATTACACTCGAGTTGAGCTCGGCAGCCAAATAGCCGGCTCGACTCGACTCGATTAACAGCTCTACGCACATGTATATTTTGCATGGCTGGTCATTGTAGTTTGCTTTCTATGCCAAATTTGATTTTGTAATCATCTTAGGTACTACTGCTTGTGGATATTAATTGATTGTCAAGTCCAGTGATATTCTCCACTTTCCAAGAAAAATAAATAAATATATTAATCTTTGCTCTTGTCTACCATATTACCCATGGTACATAATACTTTTGGATATGCCAAAAGGTTGCCATTGGATCAAGATTTTGTGCCGGCAGGGGAGCGGGGCGGGGTGAGACGTTGGGTGAGGAAAGATATTTGGCAACGAGGTGAAGGACGGACGACAAGGTGTGCCTGTTGTCATTTTTTAACTTGTATTACAAACATATTTTTAATATATTTTTTTAATTTTTTAAATTATGCTTTTATCTCACATACATTGCATTGCAAAAATTGTTATAGTAATTATTTTAAATAATCTCTCATCTTTTTTTGTAATTTTAAAATCAGCTCAATTAATTTTATATTGCTGTAGTTCATACTTGACTCACAAAAGAAGTCGAGCCAAATTCGAGCAGGCCCAAACTCATGTTAGGTATTTTTTAAGTTAACACAATCTAGTTAAACGAAACAACCAACTAATCCATAAACGTTCTATAACATCTAAATAAAGTTGCAATATCAATAAAAATTTGAATTTCATGACCAAATTTAATATAGTTTACTATAACATCCATAAACTTAGTAACTAGAGATTAAAAAGAATAAATTATCATAAAATTAACCATCTAGAATTCAATCATTTAACAAGATTTTGTTAAAAAATCTTCTTAATTCCTACATAACCTGTAAAATTCTAGAAAATGAAGGATGATGTTTTCTTCTTGTTAAGATTGGAGATTATTAAGTAACTAGGATTGAGTAAATAGTGAAGAAAGTGTGGAGAAAGATAGAATAATGGATCTTTGATACCGCATAGACAACATTGTTGCAAAGGGAGAAATGACAAGCTATATGTTAAATGGTTTATCTAACGGGTGTCTATAGGATACTCGTTAAAATATATTTCAGATGTTATATTTTTTGAAATATAAAATTAATTAGAAAAAAGTAAATAAATATAATGGAGGGTAAGTAAGATTAAATAGGAAAAATATATAAATGTAAGAGAGAATAATAATGGTTAGTATGCGTATTTATATGATAAGTTATGTGCGTTAACAATGTGCAAAGAGTACCTGCCAGATGTTACAAAGCCATTATTCGATAGAGAGTTAAGTGGATTTAGTGTAACCCAAGCTTTAACTCCCGTCCAAATCAGCTCAACTCACCCAGCACAAAGGCACGTTCCAATAAATTACGGCAGAATGAGCTGAGCTTGGGGCCAGCGCAGCCCGACTGGGGATGTACTGACGGCTAAAACAATGGGTTGTACTGAAGGAATGCCCAACCCAAGCATCCGATTGCGCTAATTTATCACCAAATCGAGTTTAAATGGAGGAAAATTTTTCGAAAACAATGGATTTGATTTATGGCAAACTGAGAAGATTATGGAGAATGGTGAAGAATAATTAGGTCCCTTTTGGATTGTTCTTGTTTTAGCCATCATCTTTTTTTATCTGTCAAAATTACCCCTCACTTCATGAATTGGAGTCTACAATATATGCTTCATCAATGTATTTCTTGAAATTTTGAGATCCAATCTGATTGCAAGGGAGTTGTGGAAAGTATCAAGGCAGGATGCAGGGGGGACCCGAATGTGGGAACCATAGTAACAGATATTCTTAGGCTGAGGGATACGTTTCAGCAGTGTTACTTTTCCTTTGTTAAAAGGGAAGGGAATTGTGTAAGTCATAATCTGGCAAAATTTGCCATGCAAATGACTAATGATATAGAGTGGGAAGATTCTTTCCCAGTTTGGCTAGTAAACTTAGCCAAGAAAGATGTAAGAGCAGTTGCTCATCTAGTGTAATCTTTGACTATTAATGAAAGATGTTATCGTTTGAAAAAAAAAAAAAAAAAATCCCATATCAAGGATTCTTTTTTTTCCATGTTTTAATTTTTTTTTTCTTTCTCTGAGACTTTCGTTATTTCCTTCTCTAGACCATCACAGCGTCACGAATCAATTTGCACAAATGTTAAATCAATTCATTTTTCAGTTCGTGCCAAGTAGATGACGACGTTTCTTTATTCCCCTCTCTAATTCACACGACGTTTCTTCAACTTCGTAGGTCGCAGCTGACCGAACTTAAAAGGGTTCAAGGAGCCTTGAATACGAGGCGATTAGGGCTATGTTCCATTATAGTTTTGAGTTTACGGTGGCATGCAAGAATTAGTAATTACACGAAACTGCTCTCACTCGCCTGTTAGTATCCGTTTTCAAAAAAAATGGAATTGTTATACGGATGATTTGAACGCTACTGTCTGTTATGATTAGACTGGAAAGGACGGCAAAAATGGTCCACGAACTGCCTTATCTTTTATTTTTTTGGGGGTCCAAATTATCTTTTATTGTTTGGTTTGATGCGACAATATCAAATATACTTGGATTGTTCATGTTAATACAGCTGCCCGTTATCATAAAGTTCTTGGAAGAAATTCATGCCCAATATACTTTAGTTGCTTGTATATGAACTGAAAGTCAACAAAAGGTTTCTGAATTCTGTACAATTGCCGTGGCCCAGAACTCACGTGATGATTTCAAGTCGCAAATCTTAAAAACAGGCTGTCTTCTAATCTAGTAATAGCAGATAACAACACAGACAATAGTAGTGGTGGCAGTATGCCTAAATCACCTTGGACTCGGGGCAGGGACGGTTGCACCTGCAACCGTCCCTGACAAATTTCCTCTTCATCAACAGCGCGTAACTTCTTTTGTTCACCGTGTAACTTTTTTTCTACAGGTTGTATTTTCACAACAGATAGTGATGGACCCCACACTTAGCGCGAAAATCAAGTTACCACTTATTATCTGAGCCGCACATTTTTTTGAGGTCCAATCTGGACCATGAACCGTGCAGGGACGGTCGTCCCTGCCCCAAATCCAAATGACCTTTGTTCCCAACTAACTGTTTAGATGCCACGGGAATAATGGTAAGAGTCCTCCGCTTGATTGATTGATTAATTTTGGTGCTGCACTGGAAGCTGGCCAGTCCCTTTTCCGACTCATTTTTCTTCAAAGTGGGTGTGGACCAGATACAAAATTACTGCAAAAGAGACATGGCAGTGTGTTGATTTGGGGATGAAGTACGGCGCAAGTCTTTTGCTGAAAGCTAAAGGTTAAATAATTCGTGTAGCCAAGGTTGGTGGTCTCTGAAAAGCTTCATGTGTGCCTGAATAATAGACAAAGGAAGTGGAAGCCTCAACTGAATTTCACTCCACAGCTTCACCAAGAAATCAACAAATTACTCGAATATTCTCTACTGCTTCTGGACCGCCCGGTCATTTACCTCCTGAGCCGAGGTCGACCCGCCGGCTTATTCCAAAAAATTGGTAGGCTGAATTGACTGTTTACCACCCATTTCCGGCGCTTCTCTCGATTTTAATCTTTTTTTTTTTTTTTAATTTTGTTTGGCCTTTCTTCGATTTCAAATTAATATTGGTATTGCTTGACCTCTAGGGAATTCTTGTTTACATTAATTAATAGAGTGTATTTTAGTACAAACTTACGACCTTCTTCTATTGACGCCCTCCAAAAAAAAAAAAAAAAAAAATGTTTCCATTCGCACGAGTCTATCTACTTCTGTTGAAGGATTGACTCATGTCTAGACATATTAATAGGTCGGATATTACTCAGATCCAATCCAAACTCAATATATTTGGATAGGAGCGAACACCCTCCAAAGAAACAAAAAATCTTCCATTGTAGTGAAATGTTTAATAAAAGCAGTTAAGATGCTTAAAAAGGAATAAAAGCAATTAAGAAACATGAATATTGGGTCTGACAGATTTTTAGGCCCCCAAAAAAAGTTATAAGTTATTTGATGAAACCCTAATTGAATCAAAAGGTCAATTAATTTAATGACAAGATATATAAATAAATCTATGACTGCTTTAATCGGTTAAACACTAGTGCAACTGCCAATGGGGCCCAAGTGAATAATGGGGAGCCCATATCTTGCTTCTGTCCTTCACTAAGACAATTGAGCTAGGTGTTGGGCCAAACAAAATGACAAGCATAATTGGGCTAGGTGTTCAAGATCTAAATGTTAGTCCATTCAATATACGTATTTATTTAAACAAAAAAAAGAAAAAAGAAAAAGAAAAGAAGAAGAGGAAGAAGAAGGCGATCGGGCATTTGCGGGGAAGGAAAAAAATTTAGAGAAAGATGGAAGCAGGTAAAGCAGCTGGTACCGATTCCGGGGAAGAGAGTAGGATGATCAAAGTTAATGTGAAGTTCGGTGGACGGTCTATACCGGTGGAAATTCCGTTGGACTCCACCGTCAGAGACCTCAAGTCTATCCTTCAACCCCTCACTAATGTCCTCCCTCGTGGCCAAAAGTTCATCTTCAAAGGTGTAAATTTGTTATTGGACGTTTTAGACAAATAATCCGATGCCTTTAATTCTTGAAGAAGTGTAATCGAGTCAATTCTTGAACTTTTTTTTTTTTTTAGGCCGTGTATTATGATTTGCAGGGAAAGTTTTGGTGGATGAAATGACAATGAGGTCATCGGAAATTATCAATGGTTCTAAAATCATGCTCATGGCTACTCAAGGTCTACACCAAGGGGTATCTTTTGTCGATCACTATGCTTTATTATTCCATTTTAGCTATGTTTTGTCGATTGTCTCTGCTAATTTTGAAAGAGCTGATTCTAATGATTATGATGTAAATGTATAGGATGGCCCCATTAAGCAGGAAGCTCCGGCTATAGAGAAGAATTTGAGGAGGAGAACAAGTGAACTGCTGAAGGCAAACAAAGAAGTTTCTGTTCCAAAAAGCCAGCTCGAAAGATGGAAAGCTACTGGGGTTATTGCACTGTCTGAGTGCAATCTGAAGGTGTTGAGGAACAGTCTTTCTTCTTGTTGAATTAAGCTAGCACTACTGCTCCTGCTACTCTTGCTTTTCTTGATGTTTGTGTACTTAAAATGATTCGTGTTCCTTGATGTTTGTGTCCTATTTTCAAGAATAGTAAGTAAATTAGTGATCCTTCCAAATCTTTTGGGATTTATGTCGGTTCTGTCTGATTTTCTACTTGATTGTATTCAGTTAGAGTGCACGAGTTTGTTGTTTTTTCCTCTGTAAGTACTGAGCTAAATCAGTAGACCTTGTCCTAATACTGAAGTGGAAAAACACGATAACTGATGAGTAAATTAAATTGTACCCTCTTCGCTGTTTGCTTAGTTTTCAGAGGTATCTAATGTAGCTATTCCAGCGTGCTGCTTATTATGGTGGATGCATAGTGATTTGTTCCGAGTTAGCATTCTCACACTTATAGTGGATGCATAGTGATTTGTTCCGAGTTAGCATTCTCACACTTATAGTTCATGGATTATCTTATTATTAGTATTTTTTTAAATAATCTGCTATATGGTTCTGTGAGCTCTGCATCTCTGAATCTTTAGTTTGTTTGGTTGAGAGCATGATTAATATATTTTTGGTGACTGAAAGGCCATACCTGAGGAAGTCTGGATGTGTGGACCTTCCGCTAGACTCCTTGATCTCAGCCACAACTCGCTACTACAACTTCCAGATAAAATTGCCTGTTTGAGCTCCATGCAGGTTAGACAAAACTCTTTCAGTGGTTGCTCTTTACTAGTTATGTGAGGAACTTCTCCTCAATATGGTTCTGATTTTGCTTTTATCTTCATCTAATTCTGCAGAAACTGCTCCTTAATGCCAATGATTTATCAGATAAATTAATTAGCTGGGAAGGGTTAACCTCACTGAAGTCTCTTACCATTCTGTCGTTGAATCAAAACTGGTACTGCAACTGACTTTTGTTGCGAGAAATTGGGTGGATTTCATTCACTTTATATGCTGGTTTACCTATACTCTAATAGTATGTGACAAGTAACTTGCATTGGTGGTGAACATTCTTTGGATCTTTTAGTGCACTGTCATAGTATCTACTTGTAAAATTTCAGTGTTGCAAGGCTTTTAAGCTGGTAGTGTCAGATCTCAGAGTGCTTGCTTCTCCTGAAGCCTGACCAAATGCACTCCCCCTTCTCCAAAAAAAGGGGGCAAAAAAAAGCAAAGGGACAATGCTTTCGCTGGTTTCTATTTTGGTCTTTGCAATCTGTTGTTTAAGTGCTATCTAGTACTGATTTAGTAACCAGTAAATGCTATATAAGACAAATTTACTACTGTGCTGGAAGTTGTCCCTCATGCACTGGTGATATCTTTTTATGATGATAATTTCACTAGCCATACAGAAATTGACTTGTAGTGCAGAGTGTTTGTTTTCTGTAAAATCCAATATGAAAGAATCTATTTTTGGTCTATTAATGTCCTCCAAGTATTGCGTAAGTTTCATTTATCATTGCTAGAGTACTTACGTATGTCATTGTGGTTGTGCTTGTGTTACTTTTTTCTTTTTCTTTCCATTCTGTTTTCCTCTTGGTTAGACATGCATGTGTGCTCTAGTTGGGCATTGATATTATTATGTGAGTGAGTGCAGCATTATAACATTACAGGCTTTGGTTTATTTTCAATGTTGTTGTACTGCAACTGCGAGCCTCGATTATGTAGTTGCATCAATCCAGTTCATTGTATTCACTTATTTTCTTTTGTTTCTTATGTAATATGATCAGTTTAGCAGTGCTGCCTTCTGCCATCGGGGCTTTGACGTCTTTGAGGCAACTTCTTGTTGAAAATAACAAGTTGACATGTCTCCCAACTGAAATAGGCCTTCTAACAAATCTTCAAATCCTGAAAGCAGCGAACAATCGGTAAAGTGTGAAATAATTTACTTGTGAAATATCTGAATTTTATTCTTTTACTCGAGCAATTTAACTCGTAGAGAAATTTATGGAGATAATTGTTTTTTCTTTCCTTCCATAGTTTTTGGTTTTGTTGTTTCATGTTTTCTTTACATGATTACGAATGTCATATCCTGAGCTTAGATGGTTGACTCTGACACTTCATTTGCTTTTTTCCCATATTGGAAGAAGTAGACAGGATTAGTTCCAAAAGAAAGCGTAAATATACCACTCAGTACTATGAATTCTAAAGAACATATTTAATGCTAAATGCAGGATAAACGATATTCCTGCAAGCATAGGGGAATGCATTTCTCTTGTTGAGGTAAAAGTCTGCTTCGTCTCTACCAGTTTTTTCTCATTTTTCCTATCTTTATTTTTTATTTTCTATATATATTCTGTAAAGCCATTTGCCAAACCCAAATAACAAAGAAGTATGGAGAGAGAGGGAGAGAGATGCAAAGTTTTTGTCTCTTACTGATCAGGCAGTCAAGCTTTTCATGTTTCCTATGTTTGCTTTTCACAGTTCCCTATCTCGGAATCTCGTTGTTTGTTGTTCTGCAGGTTGATCTCTCATCAAATCTCCTGGTAGAATTACCAGAGACATTTGGGAATTTAAAAGATTTGAAGGTCTATCTGCTAGCCTTTTTTATCTTGGAATTTCTTTATTCTCAGATCCCTCTTTATTTCAAATTGGAAGTAAAAGTAAAATACGGAAGTACTAACATCTGGCCTTAATATGCGAAAAAGAGGGCAAGTAATGCAATTTATGTTATACCAAAAATGAATTTGATCTTTTTCAAGTATATGAATTTGGGATTTGCCCTTGTTCAGTGAAGCTTGTAGACGCTTTTAGAACTTCCAGATGTATCGGTAGATTGCCTTACTATAAAAGATGTACAATGTTTCTTAAATTACCGCGATAGTGACACTCTAGATTTGCTCCCATCTTATTCTGTGTTGCAGGCTTTGTATACAAGTAATAATGGACTGAGATCCCTCCCCAGTACCCTATTTAAAATGTGTAGCCAACTTTCGATTCTGGATCTGCATGGGACAGAAGTAACAATGGATGTTCTTCGCCAGGTTCTTTTTCTTCTCCAAATCATATGTGATTCAGATCCCCTCACTGTATTCAAATTTATGTATGAATCCATTTTGTTTCTTACAGTTTGAAGGATGGGATGATTTTGATAATCGCCGCCGCTTGAAACATCAGAAGCAGCTGGATTTCCGAGTTGCTGGGTCAGCTGAATTTGATGAAGGTGCTGACAAGCGCTACTGAGCTGCTAGTTGAGACACTTGCCGGTTGGAGACCTACACAACAGTAACGTAGGAAAGTCATAGTCTGTCCATTCAAAGTTCTCAGCTGCCAACGGATTTTGTTGTCTGATGGTTCCAAGGCTGAGAGTATGCATATATACAATCACAATTGAACGCATGATTAATATCTACAAAATGGAACTACTAGTGAGTAATATCAACAACCATATTTAAAGTAGTATTATCTGATTCCTGCACTTTTCCTATTGGGGTAACAACCTTAATTGCGTGAGAGGCCCCCGCCCAACCTTGCATTTGCCTGCCGTGTCCAAATAAAAGAACGAAATTTGAGTTAAACCAAATAAAAGAACGAAAAAAAAAAGCAGCTTTTTTCGTGTTTTGTTTTTGTCTGTACTCTGTTTCACCATCTTCTGTGTGGATTGCTTTTTTGAACACATATTTATCAATCAACAGCGTAGTGAGAGATTGCAAACTTGTTACCATTCGCTGAAACTTTTACACGCTTTTCATTACCCACAATGTTTTGTCGCCTGCAGAGTACCATGGAGAAATAATTGAAGCACAGTAATGTTTCAATGTCACTTCGCTTATAGAAATCCAAATGGTAAAGAAAGTAGCTTGCAGAAACACACGTAGGAAGGCGAGATGAAACAAAGAAGCTCTTTTGAGATGCAAATAGGCAGACCACAGCCATAAAGGACATTCTCAAGGTCTCTGAATGAATAAAATTTTCTCTTCGTTATAACCAAGGCGACGTCCAGAGATGGTCTTTTTCTTTCTTTCTTTCATTTTTTTGAAGTCTGGCCATACCTTTCACAAAGCCATGCAAAATTATACCAATTATTTTCGAATATTTATTTTGGAATTTCCTGAACTAATAAAAGAAGTTTGTGAAGAAATACGCCGTCCATCCCATTTTGATAGTCTTAATTTTTTTCGCAACTATGTAAAGTTATACCAATTATTTTTGAAATTTCCTGAACTAATAAAAGAAGTTTACTAAGTAATACTCCCTCTATCCTACTTTAACAATCTTGGTTTTTTTCTAGAACAATTTTAAAAAATTAGCTAACTTTGTTGAAAAAGTAAATATAGCCTAATGTTTTTCTAAAATACCCTTACATTAATATATGAAGTGTCACTAATCACTACACATTTACATTAATTATAATACCATTCAAGACATATATCAAAACAATTATTGGTGGAAAAGTTGACTGTATTAAATAAAGTAGGTTATATTTACTAATAACGAAATATATTAAATAATGGTATTTCAGAGAAATTAAAAGTTAACTATATTATTCAATTGGCAGGTGAACTATAATTTGAGATGGATGAAAAAGGAAAACAAGATTATCAAGTAGGACTAAGGGAGTAATCAACTTATGTAGGTGGAAGGAAGTATCATCTTGAAATTTCAGTTATTGAAGGATTCTCTTGTAATTTGCAAATTCTGCTTTTGTTTTAACAAAAAATTGAAGTTCTCTTACCAATTTTTTAGCATATATTTTTAATAAAAGATGGAAAGATAGAAACTTCTTACGATGGAAAGATAATTGAAGTCTAAATTATTATTATCTCACCTCCTACTCATTCTGCGATAGCTCATTTAAATTCTCTCATGGGATTAATTTATCCCTCATATGGGGAATTAATTCGGTTAGGAGTGATGTAATAATCTTATATATAAAAAGCAACCAAAATGGGATGATATGGGATTAATATTTCAATCTTGTATCATCTCATGAACTAAACAAATTCTAAAGCACGAATATACTTTCGGCTACCTAATGTATAGAGGCACTTGTGTAGTAACTATAATTTTCCTCATGTTTACCATAAAGAAAATTAGGAAGTTTGTCTTAACAATAGAGACATATTTTGAATTATAAAATAAACATGTGATAGTATATTTTAAATAATTATCATGTAATTTGAATCTCAAAATCTTAGAAGGAACCTAACAGTTTGAGGAGTGAAAGTGTCTGAACAATACATCCACTGTCTATTTACTAATTCTCTATTATACTCACTCACTCTTATAAAAGTTAAGAAAATATCCATCCCTATGATCTCTGTTTTCGTAGTGTATTCTTTCTTTTCAACTTGAATGGTCATTAGTCTGCCGTCTGCCAGGCGTGACGAGGAACCAGCGTTATTAAGATAGTAAGGCAAACTTCAATGCATCAATTAATTTATACAAACCAACAGCCCTTTGGATGATTGGCCACTCCCATAGATTTTTAAGTCTCGGTGGGATGAGAGGTCAAAGATTCAAACATTACTTTTCATTAATGTGTCATTATACGTGATTTCTTCTAAGACGGTCGGCCCAATGTAGACTAGAGTAGGAATAAAAATAGGCCAGACTAACTGATGCCGTCTGATTAAAAAAAAAAAAAAAAAACTTGTTTACACCTAAGCTGTTTCATTGAGCACATATGAAGTTGGATAAAGAATTCACCAATACCTTGGTCAAATACAAGGATGACAATGGAGGCGGATGACCGTGGGCAACCGCCCCGCGGGGCGCTAATGGGGCGGGGGCGGGTGGAATTCCTCCCCTCTCGCTTAGAAACGGGGTGGGGGGCAGGGGAGTGCACAGCCGCTCCATCCCCCGCTCCGCCACCCGCTTTAAAAAAATAAATATATAAAATATATATGTATGTAATTATATATATAATATATAATTTAATTAGTTACAAACTTATGATAATGATATTATTAGTTATATGTATTATATGATGTTTATTAGAATATATAATATAATTGATTATTAATTATACTAATAATTATATATGTGTACTAATACAAATTATTAATTGATTATACTACATTTACAAATACATTTATACTAAATCCTTAATTACACTTAATACAATAACATTTTTTTCTTAAAAAAAGCACAAGCACAATAACGAATTAGTGATTGTATTCTGCCCAATTAGCGATGCCTTCTGCGTCGTTTGCGTTGAGTGGTGTGTGTGCGGTTTCTCTAACATTTGTGAAAGAAAAAAACTTCTTGGACACAATGCGCGTCACTGTTTTTCATGATTCAACCTATTAGATGCATCTAACTACAACTGATTCGATTATCGGCTAAATACCTGCATGTAACAAAAAAAAACACAATCAAACAATCCCGCACAATAGACGAGCATAATCAAGAACGACAACAAAAGGGTGCGCAGCTCAAGTGTCCCAGCTGTAACATCTCATTCTGTATTTTATGCATGAAAGTTGGAAAATACTTGTACATGCAGCTGACTGATTCATCAGTAGACAGGAATTACATTTGCTTAAAACAAGTAGTCCTAACGAAAGTAAATGGATATGAGAGGGATGTCAATGTCATTATCTTCATCATCCTCGCAAGCTACTACAACATCCAAGTGACGCGATATGCTGGAATCTCCACCTTGGCCACCTCCCTTGCCAGATCCACTACCTTCTTGTCCATTCGTTCTTTATGCCTAGGGAACATGCTGTTATAGAGCAAGCAACTTCCACACGAGATGCTATAAGCATTTAGGCCTTTGTCAGCAAGCCATTTAAGCAGTTCCCTCAAAGTAGGATTGTCCTTTATTATCCACCTGTCCCAAACAGTCCAGCTCATGTCCTGATGCTTGATAACCTTTGGCTGAACCGGTTCAGACATGGAGAAGAACGGCAGAGCTAAAGTAGCATAGGTGTTACGATAATCCTCTATCTTGTGTCCCCCATTAGCACCTTGTAGAGCTCAAGGCAAACTAATCCAGTAGCCATTGCAGTGGATGTGGCAATTGCAGGAATAATCCTTCCAGCGATGAATTTGGCTTTCAGCTTGTCAACTTCAGGTATAGAGTAATTTCTTGCTCTCATGTTAGCAGTGCTGCTATCACATCCATATGATAATTTGTATCGTCATCCTGAACATTTAATAACAATGTCAAACATCAGCAGGCACATATAGTTCAGAATGGATTCACATTCGTGACACTTGCTCCAATCTCATGGTAGTGCAAAACAAAGTACAAATTCTCTAAGAGTGCAATCAAACAACAACTAGTAAGACAAATACTCATGCATGTGCCTGAGACGTTAAGGTCAACAGGTAAAATGCTTTCTAAGAAGTAAGATTGCACAGAAAGAAATGTAGTGTGTAAATGAGACAGAGAAAATAAACCTTCTCAAACTGAATTGGTTTCATCCTATATCCTGGAGTTAGGTTCTTCCGAAATGCTCCAGCTTCATTATTAATTCATTGATGACAGCAGCGTCATCTATTGAAGCAGTAGAGAGACTTGTAGCCTTTTCATCTGTCACAATTTTCACATCTTTCTTTGGCTGAAAGTCGGGAACCATGACTTTGTTTACAGCTTCAGCCAGTTTCTTTGGGTTCTGGGCCCAGTCAGGGACAGGAATACCAAATGTCTCAGCACGCAGTATGGATGCTGCCATGATGAAGTGGAGATGACTTGGATCAGCATCAGAGAACTGGAGGGGTCGAGGGAACCGTTTGGGGGCTGACCAGAATGGTGCTCCAGTACTGGTTGCAGCATCTTCAGGGAAAGTAAAAATCAACTGTTTCACACGGTTGGAAAAATAATCTTCAAACCTACAGATACAGATTACCAGTCAGAAACCGCAAACAGAACAAGGCACTAATTCTATCCTCACAAATTTGAAAAGGGACAAACTAAAATGACATGAAGGCATTACTTGAGTCTAGCCCATGTAATACAATCTTGGAATGTTTCACATCTTTCCCTGTTGAGGCACTCAATAACACGTTCCAAATTGTCCCTGGCCTGCGCATCACCAGCATTTCTCATTGCAGATGTATATTCACTTGGATTTGAAAGGTAAGCATTCACCTCGGCTGGTGTTTTTTCAAGCAGGCCCTCAAACTCTGATCTGGCCCAGGTCAAGCAATGGTCAATGTTGTGGGGGAATGAATGCACAGTGCACATAGGTGCCTGTTTCTCCGGAGGATCTCTTGATGCACCATAGTTCTCAGTCAAGTGGGGAATGACCATTTGAGTATTGCACTTGGCACCAAGAGTACCAGACTCTAGAAGTGGCTTCTGGAAATACAAACATCTCTGATCAACATAAAGCCTGGCATTGACATTGTCAAGGGCATTAATAACAAGAGTCAAGTTCTCCCAAAAGGTGTCATCAAACACATTCTCCGTCTCAGGGCCAACACGATTCTGCAAT